TGATCATAAAAAGTTTGAACCCCCTCAATAAATTTGAGGGGGTTGCAAACTTTATAAGGCCATAATTGTTGAACGCTAAGAGATTATTGTGTGAGTTTTAAAATTTGTTGATGAATATATACTTGGTTGAGAATAGTAGAAAAAATATTTTATCAACTTGTTGCTCTCGCGTTTGGGACAGGTGTAGCTAAAATTTTAGGGCTTTTTTGTTCCCAGGCTCCAATTATTGCAATTTTTTACAAAGCGTCCTTATTTGATATAACTATAAACATAAATTTTTGGAGTATGCTCCATGTCTGGATGTTAGGTATCTCAAACATCAGAAAATGCTGCATCCGCGCCTGTATATATATATATATATATATATATATATATATATATATATATATATATATATATATATATATATATATATATATATATATATATATATATATATATATATATATATATATATATATATTATATATATATATATATATATATATATATATATATATATATATATATATATATATATATATATATATATATATGTATATATATGTATGTATAATTATAATACATAACATAGTTATCATAACCTAATACATAAAACAAGTCTACAATACATAATATAATACGTAACCAAAGTCTACAATACATAACATAATACTAATTTGTTAACAGTCAGTCTGTAAGATCAATGGTTCAGACAGCGACAGTATGTGTAATTTGAAGGCAGCTTTTCTGTCCAGCTTGAATGAAAAATATATTTATCCTTTGCACAGGCTATCAACACTTACTGTTCCTTCTTCCCAATACTTGTCTTTTGTCAATGCAGAAGATTAAAATATTTAACGTCCTGAATTTCTTGTATTATAATTGCTCTTATTTCTGTGGCCAATAATTCAATAAATGTGTTTTGAATTTGAGGTAATAAATAACAAACACGATTTATTAGATGAGAGTCAATTGCATTTTTTATTCCATCATCATAATTGCATCAAATTTAAAAATATTCCACAGTCATATTCAGTAATGTCATTACTATGTCTGCAATAACTTAAATTATTTTTGGCACAAAATATTATACATTTAACACAGTTTTTAAAATATGCTTTTACTTGTTAACTTCATATTTTATAGCTGTTTGCAGTGAAATTTTAATAAAACTGCCATGTCTTTGGCCTTTTACAAAAATTTTCCAGTTGGTGAAATTTTGTATATGTCTATAAGAATTTTCGTGCAACTCAGCCAATGGATTTAAACGTTTCCAGACTTAAATTCGTTGCAGTTGTTAAATGAACCTGAAGTTTTTATGATAGATTGTCCAAATAGAATTCATCGTAAACAATATAAAGTGTCATTATTCTTGCTATAGAATAACTATGTCTGTTCCATATTTTTTTTAACTCTTTATGTTTTGTTTTTCAGGGGTTGTTAAAACATTGGCCATTGGTGATTGGATGTTTGCTCCTTTACGCAGGCTATTATTTTGTTTTTTAACACCAAGATAAATGAAAACCATGTTTTGATGCATATTCAAAATATTTTGTGAATATGTCGTAAATGCATTCATGCAAAAATTATTCTTGTTCTTGTAACAGCTTTAAAACAAAAGCAATAACACCCCTATTTTGGGAAAACAAATAATATGCATATATCAACGAAGCGCGTGCGGTTGCATGCTTTTTTTGTCCACACTTATAGTAATTTTTTTAGACAACTTGACCACGTTTTATATAGTTAGCATTTTAAGAATTTGCGGCAAAATAAAGCTAAAAGAAACTAGAAAAAATAAAACTCAAAGTACAAAATAAAACTCGCAGTACTCGAAGATAAGAACCAAAAACTATACTAATTAGAAAATCTAAATAAAATAAGCTAAAAAAAATTGAATATTAAAAAAAAATAACCAAAATATTTTACTGTTTTTGTTTTCTTATTTTTAGGGCGTTTGTTATTTTCCACTATTAAAATTGATATAAGTTGAGAAAAAAAGTAGAAAAAGAATATACCGAAATAAAAATGATTTTTGATATACAATTTTTTAGCAACTTTTTTCAGTCAGTATATTAAGGAAATACTTTATAATTTGCCCTAGAAACATGGACAATTTTTACATTTGTTTTTACACAGGAATGCACAGGAAAGCAAAAAAAACTAATTGCTATTTATTTGTATAAAAATTTTTTTTTTTTTTTTTTTTACAAATAAAAAAAAATAAGTTTTTTATGTAAAAAAGTAAAAGGTCATTAATACTAATATTTAAATACCCCATTGAAATAGTCAGCATCTTAGTAGGATTATCCAAATTGTACATTTAAACCCGATAGTTTATTTCCTGATGAGCTATTGTTATTGACGATGCTCCAAAAGCTTGTGGGCATTTTTAATTTACTAAACTTGAACTATCCAAATTGTGCATTTAAACCCTGTTTATTTAACATATTTCGTCATTACAAAATTTGTTAATCAAATAATATACTTAACAAATAAATAACAATTTATATTTTTATTTTCCTATTATATAAGTATTGAGAAAAAAATGTCAAATACAGCAAAAACATTTTTACAAGAAAAAAGAGGTACAAAACGAATAAACTTAAGAAAAAAAGTTAACAAAATTTCTCATAGTTCTAGCGTACATAGCAAAGTATTTGGACTAATAAAAATCTTGAATAAATTCAAAATTTTTAATTTTTGTTAATATTATTACAAAAGATATTTTTTTCAACGATGACTTTAAAAAAAGATGTTTTTTTCAACGATGACTTTAAAAAAAGATGATTTTTTCAACAATGACTTTAAAAAAAGATGATTTTTTCAACAATGACTTTAAAAAAAGATGTTTTATTCAACGATGACTTTAAAAAAAAATAATACAAAAGTTGTAAAAAATTTTATAAAAATTTATTGTTTTTTTATTTATTTTTTTTTCATTATTAAATTTTCTATTCTATTTAATTAAACTTGATATTTCGTTACAATTTTGTTTCCTTTTTTTAGCGAATTATTGAAATGCTTTATTAGTTAAAAGATGCGAACTGCCGTGGTCAGTGTGTCTAAAAAAATTCCTTTAAACGTGGACGAACAAGGCATGCAACCACACGCACTTTTCAGGAAGGCTTGTATATGTATTTTATTTTCTAAACAGTTACACGAGTTAGGTATATGCAATTTACCTGAAATAATTTTGGCACCCTTTGAATGTTGCGCGCTTGGCAACTGCCCATATGCCAACATCTCTGCCAACATGTTTAGCTTATCTGTTTCATTGTTATAAATTTGCATCTCTTTCTATTTTCATAAAATACAATCAAGTTGCTCAAGCAAGATCATCCATTATTCAACCAACCAAAGACCAATATCATGTAACTTATCATTTAGCAAAGTTGCATCATTTTACTGTAACTGTTTTTTTTTTTTTTTTGCTCAAAAAGCTTTTATTTGTCTAGTTTTTTTACTGTTGAATATAAGTTCTTTGAAATTCTTGTTTTTATGATTTTCACACTCATACTTATTACAATTTTTTCATTTTCCTTAACTCCCTTTTATTTTTTCTAATTCCCTTATTTTAATTTTCTTAAACTACCCTCCTTTCATTTACTTTAACTCCCTTTTTTTTCTTTTTTTTTTTTTGACTCCCTTCTTTTCTTTAACACCCTTCTTTTCTTTCTATTAACTACTATTACTAACTACAATTTAACTGTTGCATTCTTGTTGCAATTAAATTTAAAAAATAAACTAAGCATTTACAGTGGGTAGTCAAGTTATTAGGAACAGTTTACTTTTTTTGTAATTTTAAAGTTTAAATGAGTTTAATAAATGTGTAACTTAATATTTTTTATCGTTTTTATTGTTTGAGGGATTTATTTAAAATAGAAAACAACATAATTACTTATTTATAGCTATATTCTTTCTTATTCATAACTATATTCTTTCTTATTCATAGCTATATTCTTCCTTATTCATAGCTATATTCTTTTTTTAAAAAAAAGTGATATCATAACAAATTAGGTAATAATCCTAATATTTTGTAATGCCATCCTTTGCTACAATAATGTCTTTCAGAAATCAGGGTATGCTTTCTATGCAGACTTAGGCTGAGATCACAGTCCACACCATTACATTCACAATATGTTTAATCTTTTTAAAAAAGCAGTCCTAGTGGAATTTTTCTTCTGGGCATTGTCGAATAAATGACCATTCCAAATCATCCACCAAAATTTGAGCATTTTATCGTCCACGTGAGCATTCCATCGTCCACCAAAATTTGAAATGTTGACTCATTTAAGAAGCAGATCTGTAAAATATTACCATAATTATAAAGATATAATTCTTCAGGGTTTTTAAAATATTATGAGTCATTTTTACTTAACTCCAAACTTCAATAGTTATATTCTGGTGTTTTCTAGCCCATTCCAATCACTTTTTTTTCATGGCTTCAGTCAAACGTCATTTTTTGGTTGGACGGTGACTCATTAAATTCCCTTCAGCCAACAACCTCAGGACCCTTCTTTTAAAGAATTGGTTTCTTAATTGTTCATCATTGTAGTTAGATAAGCGACACTTTTTTGGGAGATGTCTCTGATTTTATGGTCACAGCGTTAAGTAATGATTTTTTTCTGCCACTTTTTCAGGTGCAGTCTGCTTCTAGAGGTACATTTGTAAATGCACATTTGTACATTAGTATCAATTTTTCTTTTAGTTAAGTTCACTACTGACTTTGAAAATCTTGCAATTGATGTTATTTCTCTCTGAGAATGAGTAAGGTTTTTACTTCCCTACATTTTCCCTTACATTTTTTTGGGGTCTGAAAGTCTGAGTATGAGTAAAGTATGAATATATATATACATATATATATATATATATATATATATATATATATATATATATATATATATATATATATATATATATATATATATATATATATATATATATATATATATATATATATAATATAAATATTTTTTCCTAAAAATTGAAATAAATTTTGTTTTCGTTTGTTAAAGAACTTGCTACTGGTGTAGAGAGTACTATGTTTACACGTGACATTGAAGCTTTAGCATTAGATCCTATTGAAGAAACAATACAAGGCAAAGATAAACGTCGTAAACGAAAGCGAAAGTTAGTTATAGATGATGAAAAAATAATTGATAATGCAAAAATGAAAGCCCAATTAAATAGTTATGAAGATTTGGTTAAAAAAGCTACAGTCGCCCCTCCAACTAGGATGAGGTAATTAATAGCTTATTAGCACTATTAACAACTTTTTGAAAAGTTTTTTTAATTTTTGTTCCGTTTAAAAACATTTTTTAATCTTGTTATATGTTATCACTTGCCATATAAATTTTTTTATCTTTTTTTTAGAATGACTTTGTTCGACAGCTCTGTAAAGACTCTGTATAGCCTTCCAACGTTCTTTAAATTTTCAAAAAATTTGCTTAAGATATACACAAGAAATTTGACTTCAAGCGTTCCTGAAAACCTTATTTTGCCATCGTCGCAAGACGACGAAGTTCAACTGGAAGAACCTACTGAGATTCTTCGTCAGTCTAAAACACTTGATCAATTGCCTAACATAAACGATATAACTGATGTCGAAAAAACTATTGACCAGGAAGAGTATATAAATGATTTCGTTCAACAAATAAATCCTGAGGTAGTAGACGAAGAGTTCCCTGAGTTACTCCATGTCCCTCCGCCATTTATAGAAGAACCTTATAAAACGTTTGACGAAGAAAACATAACTAAAGATTTTGAAGATGAAGACGAAACAGAGGAAAAGCAAGACGAACAAATAATGAAACGCTGGACAAAACGTTCGCAGCAAACAGTTCATTTATTGGCGAAATGTATGAAGAAAAGTTCAAATGTTAACTTTAAAGACTTGGTTAAGAATTGCAATCGTAAACAAGCCGCATTGAAATTTTATACATTATTAACATTAAATAAAGAAAAAGCAATTACAATTAAGCAAGAAGGACTTTTTTCTGATATAATTATTGGAAGAGGTGTAAATTTTATTGAATGTTCATAGATAGTAATAAAATTTAAATTTTCATTACGTTTCATGTAATTTTTAAATGTTTTATGTATTTGACGTAACATAGTGTAAAGCTCTTATATAAATGAAACTTATTGATTATGGATTATTTTTAAACTTGGACAAACAAAAATTTGAATTATTTTCAAAGTTTTTTTTTAAAATCTCAGCAAGAAACTTTTTCGATAAATTGCTTCTTCAGTGTTCTGTGATAAGACCATTAAATATTAATTTGTTTTGTCAGATGTCTTTTGTTTTTTTGTCTCTTAAAATTTTAGTTAAATAACAAACACTTACAAGATTGTTAAATGTATACTTTCTGTAGGAAGGATTAAAAAATTAGTCAGTAAATAATTGTTTACTAATCGATAGCAGAATCACCTCATATTTTAGATTGTCTTAAAACCAGCAAGACGGTGTCAAGTATTTTTTCGTATTTAAGCTAAATAACTTTCAGGTAGAGAGAAGGGTGGATGCAGCTTTCTTTGATGTTTCAGATAGCTAACTTCCAGACGTGGAGCAAACTATATTATATATCCAAAATAGAAATATTATATCATACTTATGTCAAATAAGCGGATGCTTAGCAAAAAATTGCCATGATTGAAGCCTGGGAAAAAAAGAACCCAAAAAGTTTAGCTACACCTGCCCCAAACGTAAGAGCATCAAATTAATAAAAAAAATTTTTTTTACTATTCTTAACTAAATTGGTATTCATCGATAAATTTAAATTTTCGTACAATTATTTATTAACGTTTAAAAATGTCCATATGGGCAATTCCACGGCGGAAAATGAAAAAGTAGTCAAATTTTATTCTTTTTTTTCGTCAACTTTTAGCAAATGAATATTAATGTAGACACATAAAAGTTTATTTATAATATACCTTTAGTACTAAAATTAATTTATTCAAGTCATTTTTATGCTTTCGAAAGTTATATATTACGGGTTTTTTTATTGATCACGCGACAATAAAGTATCATTGTAAAAGTTTATTTTAACCAAGAATTTCTTTGCATAATCGGAATTAATTTAACGTGAAAATGGAACTAGCACAAATTGTTGTTCGTCAGATTTTATACTTAATAAACTATTTTTCAAGAAAATAACAGAAAAATGCAATTTTCATGTAATAAAAAGATCATTAAGTCTTGTTTTTCTAAAATTTAGTTTAAAAACTTTAGTTTTTTAACTAAAAACTTAAGTTTTATAACTAAATTTTAAAGAATTTTAAAAAACTTTAGTTTTTTTACTAAATTTTAGACAAAACAAAATATTAGGAGAATTTAGAACATATTTTTTTTAATGTTAATTAAAGTTATTTATAATATTGTTTTTTTTATTTGTTTATGTTTCTTATTTTGGTTGACATGTAAATATACATAAACAAATAAAAATAAGAACTATATAAATATTTTTATTTAGACATTAAAAAAAAGATTTATTTGCTATTCTTCTAATATAAAAAAAAATCAGTTAGAACCTTTTTTTGTTGTTGCGGTAAAGCAAATCGTTTGTGAATGCAATTAAGTCAGATTTTTTGAACGCTAGTTATAATTGATGTCATGAAATTTAAAATTTATAGATGAATATAATTTTAGTTAAGAATAATAAAAAAAATATTTTATCAACTTGCTAAATATCCTTATTTGAAATAGGTATAAATTGGGGGTTTACGTCAACATACAAAACAAATACGTCACATATATGTACAGCAAGCAGGGAAAGCATCCAGCTATAAAAAACCATTTTGAAAAATATTTGTTCCAAATTTTTTATCCATCTAGAAATCTAACCTACTTTAAAAGAGTGCAAAATGGTTTAATTTCAACAATGTATTTGAATGTCCTTTTTAGTATAGCAAAAATTTGTACGGATTTATTCAAACAGTTGAATAAGCGTGCCATTAATGGAGCAAACATAATGCAGTAAATTCATTTAAGTTTAGACGTAAAAATGACTCAGCGCTTTCGCCCTCACTTGCCGCATGTTTTAGATATTGCTCCAACTACCAACAAATTTTGCTTATCAGTTACCCTCATACACTTTACCTTTCAAAATAGCCCAAAAATATTCGATTGGGCAACACTCCCATACGGGTTGCAGATTGTCAACTGATTGGTTTAATGCGATAAAGTCAGGTCTATTTCTGACTCTCTTATTGTTTAGGTATACCCTGTTTTGTATAAGTTTTGATGTCAATGTACTTGGCAAGAGTTCTTGCAATATATGAAGGACTGCATCCAAATTTTTAACCGGTTTCTCCAATATAACTGCCTAGCGCAAGAAAATTTATATACAAGATGAGATTTAAGCAGTTTAGGAAGTTACTCTTTTAAGCAAAAACAATCTTGTATTTTATTAGTAGTGAAAATTAATTTTGTTAGAACATCCTTGCAATATTTATGAACAATTTTTAAAATTTTTATTTTAGTATAATTAGAATATATTCCAATGTATGGAAGCCTAAAGTATCTTATATTTAAGCCTAAAGTATCTTATATTTAAGCTATTAACAATGTAAGAAACAGACGGGTTCATTTTCTTATCTATATAGGATTTATTTTGAGAATTAATAATTATTTGTGGAAATTTATTATTTTGTAAAACTAATGATAGATTCCTAATATCTTTATCAAAACCAACCCAAGTATTATTAATTTTAAATGTACGATAAATTAAACAGTTTTATATTTAATTTTAATTTTTTGTCTGTTTTTTTTTTTTTATTTACAGAAATTAATTCAAACTCTAATTTGTTTTAAAAACTATGAAACAATTATAATGTTATCAAGATCTGCAGCTGCAAAAAATTAACATATATTTTTTAGTGAAGCTCACGAGTTACCAAACGTTTACTTGCCAACGCAAAAACAGGTTGGCAAAGCATACTTGTTTGAAAAGAGCTATGAAACTGAGCCGCTGCGAACTGTTTGTAAAAGACTGACTGATAAACTCTTGCAAGTATGGATTAAAGCATCAATCTCTACAATAACTCTTCGAGGGATAGAAATCGAGTTGGAAAAGTATAAAGGTGAAGTTCAGAAAGTGACGCGATTAAAATAGAGCAGCCGTGGCGCAGTGGTTAGAGTTCTTGCTCAGAACCCAGAGGTCCGACGCCAGAGGTTCGACGCCAGCTCTAGCCCAACAAGTGACATTGGTACGGAAGGATGCGTAAACTTCCTGTTAAATGCTCTCCCGCGGTGCTCTATAATAAGAACGTAAGGACTTCTGGGAGCACCTAAATACATACAAAAAAAAAAAAAAAAAAAAAAAAAAAAAAAAAATCTGCAACACTCAAAGAGAAGAAAAAGAAACTAATTTTAATAAGCTGTTTGATATTTGTTCATGTAAATAAAAAGAGTTTTCATCTTGCTGCTGCCCTCTTAATATGAAGGTAGCAGCAATTGAGCATAGTTTTCTTACATATCAGCGCTCTGCTCGTCTAAAGAGGAAATCAGTGTTAAGATCAACAAATGAAATCAGTAACAAATGTGTAGCTGAAGCATCAGCTTCATCAGCATCAGACAAAAACGCAAAGTGTAGCAAAGTAGTAGAGAAAAATGGTTTGCACCAATAGATTCAGTATATTTGAGAACCACTAAATGCATATTCTCTAAGAAATCGATCAAAATTTTTGAAGATATAATCCGGCTTAATATATATATTTATTTGTTAGGCACTTCAGTCCTTTTTATAAATTTTTTATCTAATTAACCTGAAATGTTAATTTTAATTTTATTGCATTTAAAATGTTGATCATATTTTAAAATGGGTTCAATCAATTTTGTAGCACTTCTGGCTATTAAGAAATTTTCATTTTTATACTCCATGGTTTGACTTTTTTTAGACAAAAAAATCCATTAGTTATAATATCAATTTTTTTAAATTTATTTACTTTTTTCTCATATTCATAAATGATATCTGCGAGAAAATTTCAAGCAACAACTTTAGGCAATAATCAATCCGTTTTTCATGCATAAACTTTTAAACAATAATAAACGTTTATTATTTGTTTAAAAAAATAAAGCAACTTTCAGTTTACAACTAACTTAACTTTAAAATAGAAGAAAAAAATTATGCAAATTAATATATTAAAACAAAGTAAAAGACAAGGTTGACAAATTTAAAATTTTTTCAAATATCATATTAAATATGTAATAAACAATTTTTGGCGCTACAGTAGTTTCTACCCCCCCCCCCCAACCTCCTTTTTTTTATTGTTGATTATTGATAGAGAATTTTATTCTGATTAGGAATCGTATGAAAACATAGATCTGAAAACAGACAGTATTTTTACACCGTATTTACAACATCCAAGTCGGGTTGGATAAAAGAGAAACAATTTATTCAATGGCTCACTAAAGTATTCATACCAACAACCAAATTAATACCAGGTAATTAGTTTGGTCTCCTTAAAATGAGTGGTTTAACCAATTAATCAACTAATCAAAAAAAAATTTTAATTACAGGTATTCATATTTTAGTCTAGGACGGACACGTCACACATGCTACTTACAATGTTGCATGTATTTGCTTTGACCATAACATCAGGCTGATATGTTTACCGACTCATTCGTCCCACATACTTCAACCGTTAGACTTAAGTGTATGTTGTCACGTTAAACAACTTTGGCTCAAATTACTTGCAGAATTTTATGCAAATTTCAACAACTTAAAAAAAGAAAGTTTAATTAAACTACAAGCAAAACTATACGTGACGAAAATGCGGTGACGCATTTACTCGAGCACAAATAATCTCTGGATTTCAGAACACTGGTTTGTTCCAAGGCCTTCTTAAACAGGCCGCGACAGCTCATTTTCCGTAAAATTAGCGAAGGCCTATTTTTTTACGGAGAAGTATAGTTTCAATGAGGATTTTGGTTGTTTGATTTAAACTATAATAGTTATACTCGTAAAATGCCTAATAAATGCTACGTTTATGGTTGCTCCTCAAATTACAAACAAAAGTAAAAGATAATGTTTATGTCACAATGTATAGATTCTCCTTTAAATCCGAGGATCGCGAGTTATGGATTAAAAAACTTCCAAATGCAAACTTTGTGTTTACAGATTATAAGCGAATTTGTGCTCAGCACTGGCCTAAAGATGCAGAATTAAAAAAAGTCAAAGGTGGTAGTTTTGTTCCAGTGCATCCTCCATCAGTCTTTAAAGGTATACCAGTGTCTTGTATTCCAATAGTGTCTAGAAAACGAGATGTCACTGGGTTGATATGACTAAGTTGATATGCTCTGAAAGAAATAATTTACCTGATGAGTTCGAAAACTTCAAAAAATGGACGTTATTCAATTCAATACAATTGTAAAAAATTTGAAGTCAATAATAAATTACTGTGAAGAAAAATTTTATTTTGTTGAAAAAGAAAAAATATATCTTTAATATCATATGAACATTGTGGACCAGTACCTAAGTTTTCAATATATATAACTTTAGAAGATTATGGAGATATTTATTTTACTGGATATAGCCAACTTTTACAAATTAAACAAAGGAGTTATTAAATATTATTCTCAACTGGAGAATGCTGTTAGTTATGTTATTAATAATGAAACAGATTCTAAGTGAGCAAGTTATATTAGGCATCAAGTAGCTTTATTAAATAAAACAAACAATACACCATTAGCACTATGCTCCTTTGTCTTTTTGGTGGCCCACGACTTGTTATAAAAGTTTTTCCAGTTTGTAAAGTTACAACAAATTTTCAAACAAGCGTTAATAATGGATAACTGTCGAGTAGACCAAAAAACATTTCAATATTTTAATGCAAAAAAAGTTCCAGCATACTATCTTTTAAATGACACTGTGCATATTTTAAAATGTATTCAAAATAATTGGATCACTGAAAAATTACAATGTTTAAAATATAGATTGCTAAATGATAACGATACTGTGCGACTTGCAGAATGGAAATTTATAATTCAACTTCATGCTGCAGATAGTCGAATAGTTAAGTTGTCACCCTTAACACAAAAAGCTGTGTCACCAAAACCAATTGAACGACAAAATGTTAGATTAGTTCTTTAAGTTTTTTGTGATGAAACAGTTGCAGCATTACGTGTAAAATTTCCTGAAGCTGAAGATACTGCACTTTTTATTGAAACAGTTGTTCAATAAAAATCATCGTAATCAATAATTTATCATAATCATAAATCATAAATCTTAAATTCAAAATTAAGAGAGAAAAAGTTAACAATGGATACTGCAAGTGCTTTGCAAAAAACTTCTAAAAGATTATCAAGCTGCGCCAAGTATTTGTTGAATTGATGTGTATCTTATGTATTGTTAGGACATATGCAATCAGATGCACTAGAAAAACAGTTTAGGAAATATCGGCAAGGGTCAGGTGGCACATATCTGATAACTGTGCATAATGTTATTCAAAAATTTAGAATCGATAAAACTAGAAAGTTGCTAGACAAGCATACAGATTTTACAATATTTCCTCCTGCTCACCACCACTGTGATAAGTGTGAACTTGATGTGGAGTTTATTATGTCAATATGTGAAAATTGTGAGGATTAGTTGCCAAATGAATGCAATCAAAGACTTTTATATATTGCAGGTTTTATTGCTTACAAACTTCCAGAATTACATTCAATTTTAGAAGAAACAGACAGCTTTGATATGTTTCAAAAATATGGAACTTTGATCATTTCTTTGAATAGGGGAAGACTAAGAGAACCTTCTGACAATTTAGTCTACTTTGTTTTTTATTGTTTTTTTATATTTGAAGTGACACTTGTGAATAAAGTTTCACCATTGCTGTGCAAGAAAGGATTAATTGACATTTTTATTAACTGCAATAGTAAATTTCAATTGCTTGTTCAAAGTGTTAAAAAAGTTTTCTGCATTTTGGCAAACATTTTTTAAAACAATTATTGTAAAAAACACTCTGAAGATTTTGGAAAGGAATGTTTAATAAAACAAGCAAAACTTTCAACTTTAAAATAAATTACTTTGAGTCAAAAAAGTCAAAATAATTTTAATAAAATAAAGTTAATATATTTGCTTGTTTTTATCAAAAAATTTATTATTTGTATTACAAGTGTTAAACAGCTAAAATAAACATATAGTTATAAAAACGAGATTTAGTCATTTTTAGCTAAACTCCTTAAATTTTTATTGTAATTAACTTATTTCTAAACGTAAAAAAAATTCCAACAATATTTGCTTTCAAAATCTTCAATATTTGCAATCAAAATGTTTTGTTCTAATAAAGCTCTTTATTTGTTTCTGAAGTTTGTTTACAAAAGCAAAGATAAAAAATAATTTTAACCGTAAAAAAGTCGGCCTTCGCTAATTTTACGGAAAATGAGCTGTCGCGGCCTGTTTAAGAAGGCCTTGGTTTGTTCCCACTTGATATTAGCAAAATTGATCAATCAAAATTACGAATTGCTCAAACATTTCAAGTACTATCTCAGCATGCTTCATCATCTTGATTTGAGCCTGCTTCAGCATCCTCAACTAAACCTTCTTCATAATCCTCATCCCAGCCTATATCATCATCTAACATCAGTCAGTATCAAACTCCGCCAATTTCAAAATTTACCAACAAAATCAGTGATTTCTGCTCAAACGTATCAAATATTCCAACACTTCACAGAAAAACTCGAAGACAATTTGAAAAATGTTTTACAGCGCCACCATGTTGACACACACACAAATAAAAATAAAAAAATAAAAGAGTCAACATTCCGAGAGTTAATAGCCTGTTATTAAGTACATCTGCTCGAGAACTAAAGGAAGACGATGAAGCCAAAAACTCAAGTAGTTAACGAAACGCAAAATTAATATATATATATATATATATATATATATATATATATATATCTGTATATATATATCTGTATATATATATATATATATATATATATATATATGTATATATATATATATATATATATATATATAATATATATATATATATATATATATACATATATATATATATATATATATATATATATATATATATATATATATATATATATATATATATATATATATATATATATATATATATATTAGACTGCTTCATTTTGAGGTCATGAAAGTACCATGGAGTGTTATCTGCTGCATTGACCTTATTTTATTAGTAGAATTTTTTTTTTTTTTTAAATTTTGACCACTTTTAGGGGTTGCTCAAGTGCCTCAAAAGTCATATTTTAGGCTTTTTTACCCTTTTTTAAGCCCATTTTTCGCACGTTTGAGCAAGTACTAAAACTCAAAAAAATTGAATTTTTTTTTTTCTAGAGTTTTTTCTAAGTTAGAATAAAAAAATTAAAATGCATGGTAATTTTATTTTATTGAAATAATTTGTGTAAATTTATCTACAAAAACGCAAAGTTATGCAGATTTTTACCGAATAATACGCATTGCAATATCTTTATGAATTATGTTAAGCCATTTGGAAAAAAAAACCTATGTTGCATAAAACATCTATATATAGCATTAAAGGTCTATAAAAACTTTATTATATTGCATGAAACTTCATTAAATTACATGAAACGAAAAAAAATCTAATTATATTGAATAAAACGTCTAGCAATTTTGTTTAACAAATTTCTTTATAATTAAATTTCTATAAAACTTATAATTATTTTTTAAAAATGATATGTTATATTTTTATATTGTTTTTTTTTTGTTTTTCTTGGATTTCTTAGTTTTTCCTCCATACTTCCTTTTGTAATTATGCAAAAATAAAAGTGAATCCTGTCTTTTCTCTTCTTTTCGGGCAATATCAATTTTGTCTTTTATGAGTTTAACGATTCTTTCCGAGCGATGTTAACAACTGAAAGATTAAAAACTGCCTCCTGAAATTTTAAGTAGAAATCGTTGCAAGTCTAATATTCTGGAGGGGTTTTCATCCATTGACAGTCACTTTTACTTTGGCCTATCATAAGGAACAATAGCCACGAATTTTCTGTGACCAAATGAACTAAGCTGGGAGATTCGGTCCACTGAAGTCTAAAGAATTGAAGACCTCTGTGTTAGCACTTATTCGGGCTAATGGATATTCATCCATACTATGAAATTCATAGCTGTATAGTTTTTGAGCAATATCACCTCTTTCTTTACATTTTTCATCAGCTAGAGCTAGTACAATAAGGTAAGGGTCCAAAAACCATGTGTGGCGTTTGAAAGATTTAATGACTGATTCTGCCCCAATCAAATTGTACTCATTAAACCTATTCATTTGCCAAAGCGCTCTCATATCCTGGATAAAACAAAAAACTGTTAATCTTTCTTTAAAAAAAAATTATTTCTTAAATACTTTTAATAATTATCAAAACTTTTTATTCAAACTAGAACCCTTTTATATATATATATATATATATATATATATATATATATATATATATATATATATATATATATATATATATATATATATTTCGTACTTTTTAAGTTGGTACCTACCTGATTCGGAGCAGCAGCAGATAGTTCAGCTTTGAGAAACCAGGTAGTATAGAAAACAGAGACAAAAGTTGCCACTTCAGTAATTTCATGCTTCAGCCATTTTTCCAGACTAGGTATAGCATCCATCATAAGTTGGAGTTTTTGGTAGCAGATACCTATAAAAAAAAGTCTTTTTTTTAAATTTTTTAAAAAGACTAATATTTGATAATGTAAAACAAATTCCTTTTTTTTGCAACTTGAACCTTTTTTTATCATGAACCTACAATTCCTTACCTTTTGCCATAAAACGGGCATGGTGGACTGCTCTGGAAGTACGAAATTTGTACCTGTCCTCAGAAAGCACCATAAGTGTAAGCTCTGCCAGCTCAATGTAGTCCTTCCTTGTAGCCCAATCCTAAAAATGAAGTAAAATAATAAGTATTTAGGTATAATAAAATAAACTTATTTATATTTTAGTATAATAAAGGATAATAGAATTAAAAAAGAAAAATTTATAAAAAAATTTCAACATAAAAGTACATACTACATAGATACCTACAAATTCAGATATCTAGTTATTGGCTACCTTTTTTAGAGACCCACTGGTGATAATATTTCTGCAGAACGTTATGCTTTCATGCTTTTGATGACCAAGCCATGTTTCCTCTGGAATAGTCAATCCTCTCAAAACCTTATTTATTCAAAAAGTAAAAAAAAAATTCAAAGAACTCAAAATTGGAAAAAGAAAATTATTTGGAAAAAATAATATTTCACAAAATGGTAACTAATTTTGTAAAAACTTACCTGGCTGTCTGCGTCAAGATCATTCCATGCTGATATTAAAGTTTTAAACAGCAGATTATCTGGTCCAGAAGTAATGCTACTTTGATAATTTTTCCAGAAATGTGTTATGTGTAGCTCATTGACATGATGTCGGCATGCAATAGATAGAACTGTTCATTGAAAGACTTCATTTACCAGTAAAGATACAGCTCCATTTTTTTTTCCAGCGTTGATTCTGCTAGTATCAAATGTTACAGCTTGTATATTGTCTGTAAGGTTAAATCTATTTAAGATATCTCTGATTGCATTTTTTTGATTTTCGCCAGTTCCAGAAGAAATGGGTTGAATTCCCAACAGGTGCGTTTCCTTGTTAGCGTTTATTAATATTGCTAATCGATTTTGTTCCAATTTTTTCCCATCAGTATATTCATGACATACTTTTCCATCAAAATGGAGTTGAACTAAAATGTTCTTAATGATTTTTCTTAAACTTCTTAAATCATCCTTGATCCTCTTTGATTCATCATGAATGACCTTATCTGCAGCGCGTAATGCTGTAGAGGTTGAAGATTTAAATTCAGATACATTTCCACCTGATTTAGCGATTATACTATTAATCATGGAAGCATGCTGCCTATGACTTATTCCTTCCCCAACAGCAGTATCAGTAGTTCTCTTGAGAATATCTTTTGGAAGCATAACAGTATTAGTTTTTTTGACTTTTTTCTTTAACTCTGGATCTGGGTATGAAAAATCATCATTACCTTCATCTTTCTCCGATCCATTTGAGCTGAATTCACTCTCTGACATGGTTTCATGCAAATTTGATTTCCTTTTAATTTTGGATAAACTCCTGTTTACAGAGTAAAAGTACCTTGTATCGATTCCACCTATTCTAGTTTTTCTATCTCCTAATTGGCCTAATAAAAATGCAATATCTTCAGTCTTGTCTTGATCCTTTCGTTTCCTATCAGCTTTAATGATTGCAACCAGAGTATCGAGCTCAGGTGCAATCCAAAAGATACTTTTTATCTGAGTTAAAAACCTCCTCCTTTTTTCAATCTCTGATAAAGTTTGTCTTGCTTTGTTTTTTTTTAACAGTTTTCAGGTTCGGATCAGCTTCTCTATCTTTATACTAAAAAATGTGATTTATAGGTTCGGTATATTTTACAACACACCTATTTCTGTTTATTAACTTAATTAACAGCAGACATTAGTTATATTTTCCGCTAATAAGTAATAATATATAAATAAAAAAAACAAATACAGTCTGGTACCTACCTAATTGATTGTAATTGTAAAATCTGAAATCCACCCTTCAACCAAGGTGTAATTAACTTTGAAAGAGTGCAGCAAATATGTTTTTCATTATGGCAGCTGATTTCAAAGTTTTTTGTCAATGAACAGTGGATAATTCTACTTTCTTTTTGTTTTGGGTACTTCTCCTTCAAATGCAAGAAGTATTGCAGAACCTTTTCCTTTGTAGCAAACTTGTCTTTTGGTAAGGATGACCTGGATTCCCTTACCAAAAAATGGGTGTCAACTTTTTTCTTACTTTTCCCTGACATGAATAAATCGGTAGTAAATAGATTTAATTAGTATATGGAGTAAGTATATCATAAGAGTAATTTATATTTATTTCCCGCGTTTTTAAATCAAAATTAAATATCGTTTTTGTTAAAAAGTAATTTGCATAACATGTTTAAGCAAATACGCAACATTTTTAAATTAACGCGAAGCACAACAATTGCATAACTTTGCGTTTTTGTAGATAATATATACACAAATTATTTCAATAAAATAAAATTATATATATATATATATATATATATATATATATATATATATATATATATATATATATATATATTAGTTTTATATATATATGAGCTTAATATTTTTAACGTTACATGCTTTATGTTTAAATGTAAAAACAATATTTCTCCTGTACCTTTTCATAATTTGTATAAAAAAAAGAAAAAACTAAATGCTTTTTACGAAATGATAACGACATTCGTCAATCAGCTTATTAAACTATATCTGGAAATTACTGTATTTCATTTCAAGGAGCATTACTTTGGAATAAAATAGTTTTAAAGAATTTTGTCTTTTCTCAAGAGATGGCTATCACTCTTTCAAACAAAAACTTAAAAAAGTCATTTTTTTATTAGATTATTTATTTATATTCTTGTAATTCTTTTTTTTTAACTTTATATTAAACACTGCATTAATAAAACTTATAATATAATAATTTGTAAATAGTTGTTTAACACTTTTGTTAAAGGTATCTTAAAGCTGTATAACGCATCTTCCGCTATAAATACATAGGTATTTATAGCGGAACCTTTTTTCTTTTTTTTCTTTAAATTTGTTTATGTTTTCAATTCTTAATTCTTTGTTATCTTCAAGTATATTAAGTATATAAAGTTTATTTATTTATTTATTTTGAGAATATGTTATTAATACCAAATGTTAACACGTAAACTTTTTAGCGGTTCTCGACGACAAGACCTTACGGTCTTCTACGAGTTCCCGCGTTCTTTTATTTCTTAATAACGATCATATATATATATATATATATATATATATATATATATATATATATATATATATATATATATATATATATATATATATATATATATATATATATATATATATATATATATATATATATATATATATATACACATATATATATATATATACATATATATACATATATATATATATATATATATATATATATATATATATATATATATATATATATATATATATATATATATATATATATATATATATATATATATATATATATATATATATATACAGTGGCGGATTGAGGTTTAGTGTCGCGGGGGGGCCAAGTCAATAAATAGGGGCGACCGGGGTTGCCTTCATTAATTTAATCTTATATATATATATATATATATATATATATATATATATATATATATATATATATTTTAATTGTTTTAGGGGGCGGCGTTAGACCGTTCTAGGGGGCGTAGGGGGGGGGGGGGAACTCGCCCCCCATGCCCTATACTAAATCCGCCACTGTATATATATATATATATATATATATATATATATATATATATACATATATATATATATATATATATATATATATATATATATATATATATATGTATATGTATATATATATATATATATATATATATATATATATATATATATATATATATATATATATATATATATATATATATATACATTGTTAATGAATATTTATTAAATCACAAAGTTGTAAAATTAAAGAACAAAAAAAAAAAAAAAAAAAAAAATTATTGTAACGGCAACGAATTTTAATATGTAAATAAATATTATACATATAAATTAAAAATTCGTTGCCGTATAAATAAATTTTTAGTAATTAGCGCGCGAAGTCTTCTATTAATGACATATTTTTGATATATAAACATCTTTAGTAGCAGAAAATAGAGTGTTAATATGGATGTAATTATTGATCAAAATTTACGAGATATACAAAGGCAGTATTTAGATTTCTTAGATGACGATGTAAGAGTTTTAATTTGTAAAAAACGTTAATGCAACTAAAATTTAGTAGTTAAAATTACTTTCACAATCAAAAAATTTTATAATAATATAAATTTGTTAACTGATTTCGATCGGTTAATTGTGATTATAAATTATATTCCGGATAATTTTATAAAAATACGTTCATTTTATTGAATTGAAAGAGCTTTTTTTTCAACAAAATTTGCATGAATGAAAGAAACTTCATAATTTGCTTTCAGACCCTGCCAAATATGAAAGATATATTTTTAAGTTAACGCTAGATGTTAGTGTGATAATTTAATGCACCCTAATATCAAAAAAGACTCATTCTAAATCTTTTTATCTATTAAATCTATTAAAATGACTAAATCAAATTTAAAAATTATATTTAACTAGTTTACAACATTTAATAGTGGTATGTTAGTAATAATAGGTAGTAATATTAGACATATTACATTAAATCTTTAAATTGATTAATTCATAGATTGTTATATATCATTGAAAAAAGCTTTAATACAGTATTTAAATGGTAAAAAAATTCTGAAAATTAAACAATTCTACAAAAATTTAAAGGTTTTAAGTAACATATTATTGATATATGGATTTGTTGAAGAAACTGGTCAAAAATAATTTTTTTGTAATGTAAATTGTTATAACTTTATCAATTCTTATCAAAATGCCTACAACTTGATAAAGAAAGCTGTAAGAGTGGGCTACAAATTTAAAATTGTTTTGAGCAACAGGGCATATTTAGGGACTAGGAGGCACTAAACTACCATCTATACCGTCAAAAAATTCCTTTTTTTAAAAAATGAAACAAACTTATTTTAACAAAATTTGTAATTTTTATATACAAGAAACTGTTACAGTTTTTATATACAATATAATAATTTTTATATACAAGAAACTGTTATAGCTTCTCCAACCTAAAAAATTTTTTACATATGCGACTATTTAAAATTATAAAAATTAGTATAAATTTTTTTTTACCAGATTAAAAGATGCATCAAAGTATCTATATTTTTAGTAAATGAGGTATTGTAACTGCCTTCCCCTTTTATCTAAAAAAAAGAAGAAAAAAACTATATATTTTTCTAAAACAAAAACGGTAATTAATTTGCTTTTGTTCCAACAGTGAGAAAATATTTAAATTCTTTATAGTGTTTAATAAAAATAAAACAAGTATGGAACACTATGTGAAAACGGTTTCCATAATACCTTGAAATGATACATAGTGGTAGTCTGTTATTGTCTAAAAAATTGACAAATCCTTGTGGATCACCTTTGATGTCTTTAAACCTTATTTTGTTAATAGCCAAAATGATTTTAACTGCTATATAATCATTACCAAATTACTCAAAACTTTCAGATTTTAGAGACTTTAATGCTAAACAACATGAAGTGGCAATTGTGTCAAGAGGGTGCAAATGGCATTTTAGCTCATTCAGATTTTTGCCCCAAGTTTTGCAAATTTTGGTTATGGTAAGATGCTTTACTGCCACTCTGTCTGACATTGTGTTGAATATATTTGAGGTAATCAAACTAGAACATTCCTCAAAGGAGAGTAAGTGAAAATCTGAAGAAATTGAAGCCATATGATCCACTGCTTTACATATATGCTTTTCATAATCATCAGCTGTCCCTCCAGGACTTTTCATAATCATCAGCTGTCCCTCCAGGACTTTTCATAATCATCAGCTGTCCCTCCAGGACTTTTCATAATAAATGTCTCCCTCCAGGAGCAATGATCTGATATTTATTCTTTGACATTAAGTGTACGCTGTTAATATAAACACTTTCATGCATTAATAAGTTCTTTTTGTTAACATGCTTTACTTTCCTGCTGTAAATTTAAAGTTGTTTAAAAAATATTGTTTTTGTTTAAATTGATATTTTTTACATGATTTAAACCATTGGTTTAAACTTATTAACCATTAAAATTATCACCATATTTCTATATCTTATGAAAAATTTCATAAATTAAAAAAAAGAATGTAATTTAACAAATCCAACATATGTGAAAGAATTATTTGTGAATTAAAAAAAAAAGTATAAGAGAAGCGAGCTTCATTTATTTAGGCACTTACTTATTATTATTATTATTTTTTTGTTATTGTTTCTCTTTTTAAGATCTGTTGTTTTATGTTGCATGTCTTGTAACCACATCAAAAGTATTTTCAGATAACTGATTAATTTAAATAGTTTTAAAAAGTTCTGTATAATATTTTTTTGTCCAAAATATTTTTGTTTTTTAGGCAGACCAAGGTTTTTACCACTCAAAAGTGTGTGATATGATTGAAAGAAATGACTGCAGATTAATTGTTAATTTAAATGATCTACGATCAAAAAATGAAGAAAGAGCCAAAAAGTATTTTGTTAAAGTTTTTTGTTCTTTATTTGTCTTATTCTTTATATGTATATAACTTTATATATTTCTGTATATGTTCTTGATCATGATGTTAAACTGATTCTATATTTAGGCAGGAAAGTTTTTTTTAGCTGTGTGAAGGAATCTTACCCAGGAAATTAAAAACTGATATAAAACCTCTAATTTAATTATTAGTAATGGTAGTAGGATCTTATACTTTTTATGATATACTTTTCATGAATCAAAATACTAAATCTTGATTTGTAAAAAAAGATTTAGTATTTTGAACAAAATATTGAGAGGCCATATTATGTCAGATACTTTGGATATTTTTATCAATTACTGATATTATGATAAGTCTTTAAAGAGATCCCTAACTGTCGAGACAAGTTTTGTCTCGACAGTTGGGGAGACAAGTTTTGTCTCGACAGTTGGGGAGACAATTGTCGAGACAAGTTTTGTCTCGACAGTTGTCTCAACAGTTGGATTCATATTAAAGAAAATGTTTAAAAAAAACATTTAGACTAAATTTTTTTGATTGAAACTAAATAATGAATTCATACCAACAAAATTAAAATTATCAATTTAGTCGAAATTAAAATTATCATTTTAGTCTCCTTTTTTTTTTTTTTTGGTTCTCGGAGTCTGTAAAATGTTAGCCGCAATCTGCAAATTTTTTTTTTTTTTTTTTTTTTTTTTTTTCTATTTATAATTTTATTTCAACTTGCTTTATTATTACTTTGTTTTAAAAGTAAGCCAAAATCATGACACAGTTATACATATTTTGTGACTATTAGAGTTCGCAGGTAGAGAAAAAATAAAGGCAATATGATGCGGTTTCTCGTTTTATATTTAGTTCATATGGCTTAATAGAGTTGTTTGTTTTATGTTTAATTTACATTTAGTTATGGTTTAACTCTTTCACTACCGCAAGCCACTGGTAGCGGCTTTCAAGTATGCTTTAAAATTTATCTTTTTTTTTGTACATAAATTTCCATTCTAGACACATAGAATTTGTTTGTTCTAAAGGTTTAATAAATTCTCTACATAATCAAGAAAAAATAAGAGCTATATTGTGTAATTATAAAAAAGTTATCACAAAGTTAAAAAATCTTGAATAATCCTTCTTTAAAAAAAACTTTAAATTTAGTAATAAAATAAAATTATTTTTATTCATTAAATGAGATTTGTTTTGGACTTAATGTTTTAGTTAACTAGTTACTACTTATATAAACAATAGTTTTAAGCACTTTGGATTTCTTATTATTCAATGATGCGTGTTAAAAACTATTATTATCAAATTTTAAATAATTGTCAATGTTATGCTATTAAAATGTTATTCAAATAAATGTGCAGTTGTTACAAAAAGATTTTTGTTCGGCCTGTAGCGAACAATTTAATGCGATTCGTTGTTTTTATATTTATATTATAACTATTTTTTGTACATTTTAGTACAAATATTTGTTTTAACTTTAATTTAGTTCGATTTAAACGGTTATTAGTAAAATAATTTGTTTAATATTTATTTTCTACTTAGTTCAGTTTATATGTTTTATTCAAGTCACTCGTTTTTTATTCAGTTTATACTTTAAATTAACTTATACGCTTTAGTAAAATTATTCTTTTAGTATCTAGTTTATATTTGGTTTAAACCAGAACGTTTACTGTAAATATTCGTTATATATTAAATTTTTATTTTTATAAATTTAATTTTTAATTTCATCATAAACTTTTTTGGGGATTTAGTAAAAAGTTGTACAATGAACATGATTTGGTGATTGTAGCAAAAAAAAAAAAAAAATGACATTTTTAAAGGAAAAATTTATACGATGACGTCATATACCGAAACTGTTATGAATTAAGCACGAATGGTATAAATTATCAAGTCTGCAGATTGCGGCTAACATTATACAGACTCCGAGAACCAAAAAAAGTTGAGACGACGAGCTTCGACTTAAATGTGAATTTTAAATTTAATGGTGTGCATTCATTATATAGTTTTAATCTAAAAAATTAAGCCCAAATGTTTTTTTTAAACATTTTCTTTAATATGAACACAACTTGTCTCGGCTGTTGGGGATCCCTTTAAGTTATTGTTTACCTTTTTTTGTTTGGTATATTATATATACTGAATTACTAAGACTATGTGGCATTGACTAAAATCATTTTTAACTTATCTACTTATTTTTTTTTTGACTAACTATTTTAAAAGACCATCTCTGAAATTTTAAAACTATTTTAAAAGACCATCTCTGAAAAGTTAAATGCTAAAAATGTTTTATGATTATAACTGATTCTAGAAATTAACAAGGAAAATAGATTTCTTTACTTCTTGCTTTTATTTAAAACGTAAATTAAATACGTATATTAAACTTAAATTAAATACGTTTAATAACAATAATTTTTTTTTTATACAACAAACTGGTACAAGAAACTTAAAAATCATAAAAAACTGGATTGACTGATTCTAGAAATTTAACAAGGAAAATACTGCTTGCCTGAATTTAGGAAAATACTGCTTTGCTTGAATTTAGGATATAAAAGCAAATTTAAATGTTTGAATGAACCATAGTCATAACATTTTATGACCATGAATGAATAATTATTGGTATTCTTTGTTACCACAATAGCGTGCAAGCGTTTGTGACCAATATTTTTTGTAATTAAACAACATTTGTTGTTTTTGCTGAGAATTTGTAATTCTAACTTTATTTCACTATGTGATTTATGTATAAAGAAAATTAACATTAGCTACAAAAAAGAAATTGCAATAAATGTGAAATATGAAATTTATGAGCTCGTGTTTACTATTTATATTTACCTTTTATATTTTTCTATTTTTAAAATATTTCTTTCGATGACGCAATTTATTACATGATGATGTAAGGTAGTGATGTACCAATTAATCGGCATTGGCTTAATCGGCCACTTTTTGCACAATCGGAATTGGCAGCGGCCTTTTTTACCAATTTTTCAACAGATGGCATTTTAATATTTTTGTCCTGCATTATTATAATAATTAAATCATAAATTAACTAAACTTTTTGCATTACTTAGAATTTTTTGGATAAATTTTTATTTTGACTTTGTTTACACGCAAAAGCTTTAAAAGTAATCTATTTAAGCATTGTTATCTATATTTTTAAAATTATTTTTTACTCCCAATAAGGCTTCAAGCAACCACTATCAAGTTGAGAGTTGCTAAAAAAAAAGTAGAGTTATAGAGCAATAAAACGGTTGACAGAAGACTTAAAAAGTTGAAGGTTGTATGAGTCAGAAAAACATGAAGATAGGACAGAGTTGAAGTGCGTTGAAATAAGCTAGATAAATAAAAGTTTTTGGAGAATGAAGAGACAGATACAGTCGAAGAATGAGACATTGATGAATGACAAGTCAAGCAAGAATGAGTTTTGGTTGATGGTTCTAGAGATAAAAGCTCCTTTGAGCAGCAATCATGATAGTATTTGTAGCAAAGAGAAAGTGATGCAGCTTTACGAAGATGGGAAAGACGCTCAAGCTGATAGACAGGGTCAAGCAGATAGACCGGGTCCAACTCTGTTTACAATGCTTTTTTGGACCTTAACTTGAAGAGAAAGAGCATCATTAGAAGAACCAGCCCAAATATTATAACAGTATTCCATACAGGGACAAATAAGAGATTTGTAGAGGTAGGGAATGGAATTAGGAGAGAGAAAATGAGCACGATAAAAAGAAGCAACTTTAGGAGATGTTAATTTAGCAATCGATTGTATATATGGTTTTCATGAAAAGTCAGTAGTAAATGGTAATCTAAGAAGACGTAAAGAAGTGGAATCATTGAGAGGGTTGCAATTCATCAATATAGGAATGTAGACAGTACTGCAATAGTTTTTTGCCTGACAGCAAGTTATTTGACTCAAGATGGAATGTGAGAAATTTGTTTATCAAAGACTTAAAAACCTTGCTAATAACAGAAAGAAGACTGATTGGACAATAATCAGAGGGGTCAGTATGTTTACCAGAGTTTTTTTAAAATTAGAACAACAGATGACATTTTCCAGCAGGCAAGAAAACAATAATGAGTCTAGTACTTTATAAATAGTTTAGAGAAAATTGAGTCCTGAAGAACAATTTTGTAAGACTGTGACAGGAATTTTGTCTGACCACAAGCCATAGAAGAGTTTAATACACCGATTGAGCTTTGCAACGGCCCATTATGGTTTGGAAGTTCGAGACCCCGTTGGAGGAGGTAAAAGTAGAGACAATGTTTTAAATCTCCCATTAAAACTTGAAAAAGCGAAGCAATAACATCTATCAAAAGCATTCAAATAGAATTTCTTTAATTACTAAGTATAATCAGAAAACAAAATTTTTATATAAAGATGCCGAAAGTTAATTGTGCCGTAATTGGTTGTGCAAATAGTACATATAGGTTGAAAAAAAAAGCATAAGAAAATTAAAAACAGTAAATGCAACAACAAGCATACAGTAGCTGCTACAACAAGCATACAGTAGCTTACCTAAACATACAGTAGCTTCTACAAAAACGTACAATAGCTGCTACAACAAGCATACAGTAGTTGCTACTACAAACATACAGTAGCTTCTACAAAAAAACATACAGTAGCTACTACAACAAATGTACATTACATGCTACTACAAACATACAGTAGCTGCTACTACAAACACATAGAAATTGATAATAAACTTTGCACCCATTAAACATGCAATTTAAAAAATATGTTTATACATATTTTTTGAATAATTTAAACAGTTCTCTTTCTCTCTTCTATAAATACTATAATAGGCATTGCTCTAAATAGCTAGCGTCTCTTGTGCCATCTTCTAAAAAATTTTCTTGTGTTACTTGTCATTTAATTCTCATTTAAAATTCTCATCCTTTTACTGTGACTGTTCCTAAGTGCTCCAACAATTATTGTCTAAATTATTTCCTCAAACATTAGTTCTTTGGAATTTGCTCCCCTCATCTTATTTTCCTGATTCATATAATTTACAATCTTTTAAGTTGTTTCTTAATTGTTATTTTGCTTTATAAACTTCATCTTTTCTCTTCTAGTAACTTCCAACTTTAATAGTGGTTGCTTGCAGCTTTGTTGGAAGTAAAGATATTTAAAATAATAATAATAATTGTAAATGATTAGAAAAAATACTATTGTTTTTGACCTGTGTTGTTTATAAGATTATATATTTATGGTTTGTTCATCTTCTAAAAGAAAATAAAAAATAGCTGAAAAATATGCAGAGAATTTTATTGTTTATACAGGGATTATCTTTTTCCGGATATTTCCGGATTTCTGGATATTTTTGCACATTTTTATATTTTCCGGATATCCAAATAGTTTTCTGTAAATACAAGTTAAAATTTTTTTTTGTCATCAAATAATTAAAACAATAAAGGTATCGTTCATCAATTACTTTATGCTATATTTTACTTAGGTAAGGCATTGTTTTCACAAATTATTTATTTATTTTTGTACGCGTATATTCATAAATAACTGCTCAGCTTTACGTGACTAAAAATATGTGAGCAAAATTGCTAAAAGTTCGCGTAAGGCTGAGCAATTACTCGAAAAACACTGAGTAAAAGCAATTGCTTTTTATTCACTTAGCCTATTAAAAATGTATGCAAGTATTTAAATTATAAAATAAGTTTTGTGTTAATTAAAATTACCAAATCAATTTATTTATTGAGATATTAATAAAAAAGCATTTATTGTTTTGCCAAATATTTCTGCAGTATTTAATAAATTAAAAAAAAAGAACTTACCTTCAAGAGAAAAAAAAATGCTCTTAAAATTAAAACTTACCTTCGAAAAAAAAAGTGGAGTTGAAAATTATTTATTAAAAGGTTTTTAGCTTATGTTTTGATAAATACTTTGTTTTAAAACGTTTAAATAATATGAAATCTATTTTTTAAGGATTATTTAAGATATGTAAACACTCAGCACTTAGAGATCACTTTAATTATTTTAACTATTTCACCTAAAAATCTAGTTTAGTTTAATTTATAAACTCTATTTAAGTAAGGATTAAAATACTTTTCTTTTATACAGAAGAATCCCTGCCAAAAATTTTCTTTTCAAGCACTTGAGATATTCTTAAATACACAAAAAGCGTTTTTATTCTGTGATTTTACTGGATGTCTTATTTTTCCGGATTTTTTCCGGAATATTTTTCTGGATTTTTTCCAGATAGTATAATAAAAAAAATTTCCGGATATTTTAAAAATGACCAGGATAATCTATGTTTATAAACTTTGCAAATGACAAAACTGTTATTTTTGTTAAATGCTTTTCAATAATTTTTTAAATTTCAAATAAAACTTAAAAAGTCCATATATTGATTAAAATTGTTTTATTTTTTAAAAAAGTTTTTTAAAAAAAACTTTATTTCTTAGCCTGGTTTTGTAGCCGAGCCATTATTTAATATAATTTAATATAACTTCCATTATTTTGAAGTTCATTAAAATTGTCAGATACACAAGCACATATGATATATGATTTATTACACAAATTATTTTAAAAATAAAAAAAAGTTTTACTAGTACTTCAGCAGAAAAAAAGTTTTAAAAATAGGTTTCAGCAGCTATTTAAAAATGTCTTTATTTTTTTAATAAAGAGAAAACTTACTATGTAATAATCTGTTTTTTTATGAATGTGTTTTAATTTTTAATTATTTTTGATGCTCTAATTAATCATTTAGTCTGCTCAATGAAGCATTCGAAGAACTAATAGGATTTCAAAATGCACTTAAAGAGTTTGTGAGCTCCACAGATACAACATATGCTAAGAGGTTTGAAGAGTTCTTTGTTGGGTTTGAAGGAAGGTAAACTTGAGAATAATTTAAATTGTTGTTTAATTTTTTGTTCTATTTTTTATATTCTTATGATTTTCATAATTATAATTTTTTTAAATCTTTGCAAGCTTTGGTTCTAAGCATGTTTCTCCCAGAACACTGTCAGCACGCAACCTTGGTAATCTAGTGTGTTGTGAAGGAATTGTCACAAAGTGTAAGTTTGTTTCATTTAAAACTAAATATGCAAGTCAAGTTTTTTAAAGTAACTATTTAAAGTTGACATTTAGTGATATATTATTAAACTTTACTCGATATTTATTAATATTGAATATATATTATGAATATATATTTTAAGTCATAGTTTATATATATATATATATATATATATATATATATATATATATATATATATATATATATATATATATATATATATATATATATATATATATATATATATATATATATATATCAAGGCTCGAAATAAGTGATGGCGAATGGTAATTTTCCGAAATTTTTCTGGTCATCAAATTTTTAGTTTATTAAAAACCGTGAACACTGTTTTAATGAAATGGTCAATTTATCATATTGCAAAAATTAATAAAAAAACAAAACAATAAGTTTACTACTGCAAAAAATATTAAAAACATATTTAATTACATATTTTTAATTATTGTTTTTTTAAACACCAGGTAATTTAAGGAATTTAAATTTAAAAAAAGTTATAAGAAAAATATAATTAATACTAAAGGTCCAAAAAATTTGTGTGGTAATTTGATAATCAACTAATTAAAAGTTATGCTAAAGCTATTTGTGCATTGTATAAAACATTAAGTTTAAGGAATTATTTTTTTTTAAAGTCTAATGTTTTAAATTAGAAATTAATTAATTGGTAATAAAAATAGTGATAAAAAAAAAAAATATTTTAAAATAAGCCGTTAGAGTTTTTTTTGTTTTGTTTTTAAATAACTATAAAAAGTTCAAATTAGTTTTTATATATTTTAAATGAGTTACAAGCATTTAACTTATAAGAAAATATTGAATAAGATTTAAAAAAGATATAAAAGTATTTTGTATCTTATTTAATGATTTCTTTTATTTAAAATATTTGGTCACTGCTAAATTTCTGTAGGCTGTTATGATTAGTGGTTGTTTTATAATAATTATATCGTACTTTATTGTGCACTTTATTTTTATTTATTTTCCTAATTCCGAAAGCTGATATATATGATATATATCAGCCCTCGGAATTAAAACTCTTTCCTAATTCTAACAGTTTAAGAAACCTTAAACTGTTAGAGGTCAGCATCAGGTCAGAGAGAGAGATTGGCTTTTTTTACAGACCTCAAACACTTTTAACTTGGCAGTTTACAAACAAACATTTCGAATTTTGTTTATTAAAAATCTTAATTCAAAAAATTAAAAATTTGTTTTTTGATTTTTTTTTACTATTCTTCTAATGTAACACAAAATTTAAGTGTAAAGAGGAGAGAATTTCAAAGCATTACTGTGCAATAAAAAAACAAGAAAATTAATTGGTAGTGGTGTAGTGTTAAAGCGTTTTTTTACAAGTGAGAAGTTCTGAGTTCGGTCCTCACCACAGTCCCCATTGCATGCAACTTGTTTCTCTGCGCAGCAGCTTTAAGGAGTAGTAACCACAATAAAGAAGCCTCCTAGACTGAAATGGCATTCTCTGCCTTGGGGAGGTGAATAACATAAAAAAAGTAAAAAGTTATTTTCACCATAAGGTAAAAGTTACAGTATGAGTTTCAGTTGTTTGGATGGTAGTTTGCTTGTGTAGCAACTTGTGTAGCAGAAATGCAACTTTATGACAATTAGGCAGAGGCACAAGACAGCTTCAATGCATTTTTTGACCTGATATAAAAGAACTAGCCCAGAATATGAAAGCCTTACTGACAAAACATGACTTCTATATGACATATATACTTCTATAAAAAAATATACTTCTATATTTTTTCTAATTATTTTTTTAAATTTATCCAAGAAGCGTATCTAGATTTTTGTAGATAACCTTTAAATCAAAATCTTATGCTTAATTTTTTCCAGGTTCACTTGTATCTCCAAAAGTTGTTAAAAGTGTCCATTATTGTCCGAGGACAAAAAAAATGACTGATAGAAGATATACTGATCTTACTTCATTAAGTGCTTTTCCTAGCTCAACAGTATATCCAACAAAAGATGATGACGGTAATCCACTTGAGACTGAGTATGGTTTATCAATTTATAAAGATCATCAAAATTTTACCATTCAAGTATGAGTACATTTAATATGTTTATTATTTATTAGTAAAATAATATTATCTTTTAGTAAATATATATTTAAAATCTATTATCAAAATTCTACTAGAAAGTGTTGTAATGGTGTAATATTCTAATGTCACATTTTTATTTTTAGGAAATGCCTGAAAAGGCTCCTGCTGGACAGTTGCCTCGTTCTGTTGATATAGTTGTTGATAACGATCTTGTAGATAAATGCAAAGTAAAAAATTTGTCATCTTAATAATGTTAATAATGCTATTAAATGAATAAGTATATATATATATATATATATATATATATATATATATATATATATATGTATATATATATATATATATGTATATATATATATATATATATATATATATATATATATATATATATATATATATATATATATATATATATATATATATATATATATATATATATATATCAACCCTTAGAATTAGGGTCGTCATAACTGCCTACCTAAATGTTTGCAGTCAGAAAAAAAAATTCGGTTTTGCCGACCTTGTTTCGATGTTTTATGGACCTTTTAAGACCTTTGTATTTTATGGACCTTATAAGACCTTTGTATTTGTCGACCTGGCAAATTATTGCCGACCTCAATTTTCCTAATTCCGAGGGTTGATATATATATATATATATATGTATATATATATATATATATATATATATATATATATATATATATATATATATATATATATATATATATATATATATATATATATATATATTCAACAGCTTCGCTTCCAACAAGGCTGCAAGCAACCACTATTAAACTTGGAAGTTTCTGTAAGCAGGGCTGTGGAGTCGCAACATTTTTATCGGAGTTGGAGTCACTAAAAAAAATCGCGACTCCGACTCCAATAGTAAAATTTCACGGTATTGCACGTGCATGTACAAAATGTTTAACCTTCAAAGAACTTTTCATGTTTGACAAAAAAAAAAATTTAATTATCTTGTAATATATTGTAATATAAAATTCAGAGTTTTTATAAAATTTTACCTTGGAGTCAGAGTCGTACTCTGATAATTTTGATTGAGTCAGAGTCTACTTTTTTTAATGACTCCGCACCCCTGACTGGAAAAAAAAAGATGAAGTTTATAAAGCAAGATAACGATTGACAGATGACTTAAAAGATTGCAAATTATATGAATCAGGAAAGCAAGATGAAGGAAGCCAATTCTAAAGATGTGATGTTCAAGGAAAAGAATTAGATAAGTAAGTGTTTTTGGAGCACTTAGGAACAGTCACAATAAAAAGATAAGACTTAATTGAATGACGAGTAACACAAGAATGAATATTAGTCAATGGCACAAGAGATGCTAACTCTTTAGAGCAGTATCCATTATAGTATTTGTAGAAAAGAGAAAGAGAAGCAACATTACAACGATATGATAATAGTTGGAGATTGGCTGCAAGAGCAGGTCCAACTATGCTTACAATGCATTTTTGCACCTTGTCCAAATAAGAAAGCGCATCATTAGAAGATTCGTCCCAGATATGGTAACAGTATTCCATACAAGGGCGGATTTGAGATTTTCAAAGATTAAGAACAGAATCTGAAGTAAGAAAGCGTCGAGCGCAATAAAGAGATGCAACTTAAATATATAAGTGTATGTTAAGATAAGCATATGCTTACTAATTTTGCTTATCTTTGTAGCATATGGTTTTTTCAAAAAAAGAAGAAAATAAACAAAGAATAATGAAAGAAAAGACTGCTGCCCCATGTCAAACCCTCAAATACGCATTTATTGTTATATATATATATATATATATATATATATATATATATATATATATATATATATATATATATATATATATATATATATATATATATACATAAATATATATATACACATATTCCAGAAGAAGTTTAAGAAATATCAATAATACGTTGTTGAAGATATTTGAAGATGGTTTGCATTTACACTGTCATAATTAAATAAGTTTCTTTTTTTTAATAGGGTACCGTTGCGGTTCTAAAAATATATTTGATAAACTTTTGGCAAAGCTTTCTGGGATTGAAATGTGGACAAACAAAACAAAATGATTAAAGACTTAATACCAATTCTGAAGAAAATGTGTATAAAAGTGCAATAAATCAATGTTTTTTTAGGATTTATTCTCATCAGAACTTTGATCGTTTGCCAGCTGGTGTAATTTAACAAAGTAGGAATAATTAAAGATTCAATGACAAACTTGGAAAAAAGATTAAAAGAAAAATAAAGCTTTCGAAATTATATATTTAAACAAAAAGTTTACATCTTGTACATTTTCTTGTCAAAAATAATGAAAATAATATTAACAAATGGTGCAAATAATATTTGTAATCATCATAACAAAGAAATTTGTAAACTCTTTATTAGTTCTGATGTAAATACAGAATGAAGGATTGTTGATTTTAATACTGGAAATAACCATGATTTTATTGTTGATTTTTTTGTATTGATGATTTTATTGTTGATTTTTTGTATCATGATTTTATTGTTTTTTTTATATCATTTAGAACTTTATTATATGAACATGAAAAATATAATTTTATTGCTTTGATGAATCTCAATTTTCTACTTTTATGACTTTCTTGGGCCAGCAAATTATCAACTATCATATTTTAGTTCAAGGAGTATGAGGGTTAAAACAAAGTTGTAATAGTTTTATGTAAAAAAGTAGAAGCATGTATCAAATTTTATATCGGTGTAGTGTTTGTAATTTGGCTTCATTTCAGAAGTGTGGAATTATGGAGTTTATTAAATTTATTTTCTTGTCTATAAAAAGACTTGCTTTTACAGAAACAAACAACTATTTATACTGCACTATTTTTAAGTGTGTGAAAGTTTACAAAAGAAGAAGCCATGCAATCAAAAAAGAAGAGGCCATGCATGGGAAAAATTGTAAAAAGGACAAGTTTATTTTGAATGATTCAATGAACATATTTAGATTTAAATAAAAATAAACAATTCGATCAAAAGTTTGGATTATTTAATTGAGTAATTCTTTATTTATTGTCACTAACATCTTAATTAGTCTATGTTACTTCATACTTGGTAAACTTTTAACAATGTTTGTGTGCTTGACTATCTTTGTAAAATTTAAATTTTGTTTTTACAAGTTTAACTGTTAATTTATTTTGTTATTTTTTTCTGTATAAAGAGTCTTTTGTCTCATAATTTTGTGTATAAAGAGTCTTTTGTCTCATTTTTATACAAGTACTTTTACAAGAAAAAGTAGATTTAAAAAGAATAAAAACCATTTTAAACAAATTTTTCAGAGTTAAAATTTAAGCTATGGATTAAAACTTATTCATAAACATTTTTTTAAATATGCACTTATTTTATTTGGTGACAACTTTTAAAAAGAAATTTATAAACTTATTAACTAAATATATTTTTAATATTTTCCTTTTAAAAATATATTTTTAACAGTCAATGTTTAGAGAACTAATTATTATTTTTCTGACCATTTCAAATTTCTTTTGTTTAAGCGTTTACATGTTTGGAAAATAATAAAAAACTTATTTGCATTGTAAAGCAAGTGGCAAAATAATTAAGCATTCTAAAGTCATAAAGGTGCAATTGTCAAAAATAAGAAAAATACTGAAAAGCGGCTATATAGAGTTTGTAGGAAAGGAGTTGGAGCAAACTATTTTGTTGGTACAATTTGTAAGCAATGGTTTCAATGGGTCCACATGTAAACATAGTTTTAATGGATCCACATAAAATTTAGTTGTATAAAAGATACTCAATATGGATTGTTTTAGATGTAGAAAATCATTTGTTAAATACAGAAAAAAAATTAAGAGATCAAAATAAATAGTGGTTTCTACATTTTCAGTGTAGAAAATGTACTTTAGATCTTTTTTTATCAAAAGTATATTTTGTTGATAAGAACTAATATAACAGAGAACATTTAAAAAAAAAGAACCTAAAATAAATAGTAGTGGAGTGCGTTGGTTTTATTATCTTGAAGTTAACTGCTAGAGAAGAGAAGATATCATGGCTAAGAGTAAGGTATGTCAAGTTCAGAGCATTATTTTCCTTTCTAACAGCAAGAGTTGCATCATTAAAAATCAAAGGAAAGTTGTACATGGTTCGTGGCCTGTGTTATTATCTATGGTAGTGAAGCATGGGCAATGAAGATAGATGATATCCAACATCTGGTAAGAACAGGATGATTATGGACGTGTGTTGTCACAAGTTAAAAATTGAAACATTGATTTTGGATAGAAATCGAGATTAAAGATCTACGCCTAAGAGAAGATAAAAATGGTTTGGAAATGTTGAGTGTTAGATAAAGATGATTGGGTGCCAGCCTGTAAGGAGCTAGCCGTTTCATTAAAAAAAAAAGCAGAGATAGAAGTATGAAATTTTGGAAAGAGCATTGCAGATGGCATTACTTTTTTATGCCATCTGCAATGCTCTTTCCAAAAACAAGGCATCCTATTGAAAACAATTGCTTTAGCTCATATTATATTTAAATAAGACAACGACAGAACGGAATTCAATGCAAACCACACAAGTATGAAATCAATACAGTAGTGGCCATTGAATTAAGGCACCTAGCAGAATTGCAGTTTTAATTAAGCAAGTCCAGTTTCTCTTTCATGATATTGTATTATATGTTCTATTAGTATTATAAAATGTTCTAAAACAATACAGCCTGTATACGAGAAGGCATACTTTTTACAAGCTTGTCACAGTTCTCTGGAGTAATTTCATTTACCTACACCTGCTTCAATACATCTTTTAAATGTTCCTCTGACATTGGATGATGTGCTGACATTTTAGCTTTCATTAAGTTCCAACAATTTTCAATAATGTTCAAATCAGGCAAATTTGAGAGCCAGTTCTTCAAAAGTTGCACATCGTTGTCATGAAACCACTTCTTGACTGATTTCATAGTATGACACGGTCCTGTAGTTTCAGAAATGTTCATATGTGTCTTAACCTTTGACTCTAAAACCTGTATATATTTTGCAGCATTGACCTTTTCACCCTTACCGAAGATGTGGATTCCGCATCTACCCTTAGCTGAGATAGCTCCCCACGCCATAACAGATGGCGGATGTTTAATGGTCAGAGTGTATTTAGGGTTAAGTCTTTCACCTACCGGTCGACAAACATAATTGTACTCTGAACCACGCAGCTGCTGGAAAGTACTTTCATCAGTAAACATCACAGTAGTCCACCACTCAGCAGTTTTGTCCTTCATATCACAACAGAATTTCACATGTGCCTGAAGCTGCTTCTTGGTGAGAAATGGCTTCTTTGCTGGTCTACGCCCATGCAGTTTAAATTCTGTAGACAGATATCTGCGAACACTTCTGGCACTAATATTAATGTCTCCTTCCGTGGCCAATTGGGTAACTCGGGCAGAGGAAGTGTGAGGGCTGGCTCGCTCAATACTTTTCAGGTATCGATCTTCACAGGGTGTAGTTTTGCAAACGAAGTGGCAATTTTAACGTCTAGAACTCCTATGCAATCTTATAACATTTTTTTACAGCGCATCTTGATATTTCGAGATGTTTACTAATGACAACTTGTGAGTACCCTTCACCATGCAAAGTTATGACTTGACCTTTAATAAAATCACTCAAATCTGCCTTTTTACCCATATTTACTTTATTTAATTTATTTACTATTTACTTTAAAAAAAGAACTTTACTAAGCTTTGATAACATCTTTTAAACAAAGATATGCGAAAAATTTTAATTTGATTCATTTAATGACATTGACATATAATACTTTGCATATTTAAGAGGCATACTAAATTTATACAAAAACCGTAAGGTGCCTTAATTCAATGGCCACTACTGTACATTACTTTAGGCATGTACTACAATTTAATAATATGTTCTTAAAGTTTTTAATCAGCTAAGTGCTAAGTATGCTAATAAGTGTTAGGTTAAAACATAAGTATATAAATAAAAATTATATATACTCTTTGATAAATCGAAGAACATTTGTTTTTTTATAGTTGTTACTTTATATAAAAAATGTCGCTTAATTTTATTAAAAAAATTATAAAAGAGAGACGTTTAAAAAATAATTGCTCTAATAAATTTATTTTGCTTAAAGTTTTTTCGCGTTAAAAACTATTTTTCTTTTTTTAACTGTCTCTCATTGGTCCAGTTAATCTTATTGCGTTTTTTTGTTTGTTTTTGAAATGTTCTCAAAACGACTAAAAAATCTGGCCGGTTTTTTGCAACTAAATATTATTTCCGCGGTCCTATATATATATATATATATATATATATATATATATATATATATATATATATATATATATATATATATATATATATATATATATATATATATATATATATATATACATATATATATATATATATATTATTAGTAAGAGGTTTTGTGGTGTCCGCTTTAAATCTGTTACTTTTTTTTCTGTTAATATATAGTGTTAAAATTTTAGCCAGGTGATAGAATACAGGTGATTGGAATCTACAGGTGTTTACCATCTAAGAGTCATGGTTTTACACCAGGAACATTTAGGTATTTTTTGTTTAATTATTTTTGTTTTTGCAAAATAATTTTTTGACTGCAAATAAATATGTAAAAAAAAATGTTTTCAATATAAGTTAACTGAGTTGAATTGCATAACCTTTTATGAGTTGATTGAATTTTGTGACTTTTTTTGATGAATTGATTGAATTCAATGAACGTATTTTATCAGATAATTTAGCTTATTTTGAAATGTAGAACGATTCTCATTGCAAATAATATTAAAGTGATGAGTAAAGAAGTTGCACCAACTTTTTCACCAGAAGATCTTACAAATATTAAAAAGTTTTCACGAAGCAAAGAGGTGCTAATAATATATTGTTATTTTGGTTTTGAGTATTCATATAAATGATATGTTATAGCAATATTTCTTGCTTTGTAAGATAATATTTTTTAAATAACATATCTTTTAAATATCAAGTTAAAAATTTTTTTATTGTTATAATGGCTATTGTTCTGTTCTTAATTATTTTATTAATGTGTATTGCTAATCTTATGTAGGTTGACCATCCATCCTCTTTTAGGAGGACATATCCTATTTTTTTGTCCTCATTTAATTTTCTTTAAGTCAAAGTTAAAACTTTCACAAAAATCTTTTACACAAAATTAATTAAATGTTAATTAAATTTTTACAATTTACTTTCACAAAAAAAGTTTTTAGTTTGATAAAGAACCCATTCGAATACTCAACAACTTTTTCTTTTTCAATTCTTATTCTCGCATTTCCTTGAAATTGGTATTTTAAAAAAAAATTAGGAGGCTAAAAAAACAAATAATAAAACCTCAATTTGTATTTAAGTGAAAGCAAAAACTTATGTTAGATTCTAGTTACTTCATAAACAGAGATTTTGGAAGAATCAGATCTACTAAAAATATGTATCGAAACCTAAAAGAATCAGATCTACTAAAAATATGTATCGAAATCTAAAAATATGTATCATAAAGTTCTTGCCCATAGGTGTACACAATCTCCTAAAGAATGAAAAACTTCAACTAAAAAAATAAGTTTTAAAAAATAGTGCTTTTAGTATGTATCAAAATAGTTTGGACTATTTGAACTTATGGACCGAGCAGTTCCAACCATTTAAAACACTTTCCTGAATGTCTTTATCTAATGAACCAGTTTGGGAGCTATACAGTTAAGTATGTGAATAATAAAAATATTTGTATAGGCGATGAAAAGTGTCTAAACCAGTTAGTTAATTTTCAAAAATTTTATAAAGGCTATTGTAAGAGATTGATAAAATTTACAACAAATGGTGTCAATATTTCAAGATTATATTACCAGAATTTTTCCATTTTTCTAAAGATGGTCTAATATATGTCTGCAATAACGAGTTACAATGCAACCATTTTTAGTTAAATTAAACCATATAACCATATTTAGTTAAATTAAAACCCAATGAACAGATAAAAGAGAGTAAAGTAGTTGAAAGTTTTAGTTTGTCATATATGAAATTTATGAAACTTGTGGAGAATATTATGTATATAACTATGGATAAATTTTAATTTCAACTTCAGTGATTGTATTAATTTTTAAAATTATTTGAAAAATAAGTTTCAAAATTTTAAAAATCTATGACCCAAAAATATGAATTAAAAAAAAACAAAAAACATAAGGTTTTTGAAATTTTTCTCTTTTTTACTATTGTGACGGAGGACAAGTCATTCTTTCAGCTCATTAGCAGTTGGTTACCCTAATCTTATGATATTTCTAAAAGTTAACTGTTAAATTGTTAAAGTACTTATGGCTATAAAATTATCAAATGCTTTGTTTTATGTTAGTGCTTTGTAAATAATTAAATGTCAAATAATTTTTTCTTGTTTATGATATTTTTTATTTTTATTTGTTTACAAACTGTAGGATGTATTTGAACTTCTTGCTCATTCTCTTGCTCCTTCCATCCATGGACATACCTACATTAAAAAAGCCATCCTCTGCCTTCTACTAGGAGGTACAGAGAAGAATTTAGACAATGGAACTCGTTTAAGAGGGTTAGTTATTATATGCAATATAAATGTTAGTTTTAATGCGATAAAAATGTTAATGTGTATAGAAAACATTCCAATCCTTTAAATGTACTAAAGAAATTCTCCCAAAAATCATGAATATATATTTTTTGGGAATTTTTAATGGTAAATGGTTTTTTTTAATGGTAAATGGTAGTGCTTGTGTCATAATTATTACTCAAGTAATCTCAGATTCAGTTAAAATCCTTTAAAAACTTAATTAGTTATATATATATATATATATATATATATATATATATATATATATATATATATATATATATATATATATATATATATATATATATATATATATATATATATATATATAACTTTTTTCTATCTTTCAATAAGTTGCTCATTTTTTCTAGAAGTGTTGTTTGGGTAGTTCTGTGTTAAAACACTGGTTTTTGTTAACTTGTATTATATCAGAAAAAATTTATAGCCTCAACTTCAAAAAAAAATTTAAAAATGCTAAGCAAGGCCAAAATGAAGTTAACTGTAGTAGTTTTCTATTCATCAACAAGTCCTTACAGTTTAGTTTTTAAAATTTTTTAAAATTTTCTTTAGGAACAAAAAACATGTCCTCAGGTGTCAAAGTTTGATTTCCAATCGGCCTTTGGAAGGACAGGTTATTAATTACTCTTTTCACTGTACCACCTACTCAATCACATGCACTTTTTCTACGTACAGTACAAAAAAAATGCCCATCTGCTTTCAGCCCATAGTCTTTTTCATGAAAACAAAGGTTTTTTAAATTACATTAATACATAAGTATTAATGTAATTTAAAAAACCTTTGTTTTATAAGTTGTTAGTTAACTTTTCAAGAAACTCATCAAGGCTACTTTTCAAGAAAGGTTTTTTTTTGTTTCTAAAGAGTATCAATCAGTTTTCATAAGTTATTTCTATAAGTTTTTAATTGCAGTCAAAGTAAAACCTTTAAAAAAACTTGTTTTCTAAATAATAACCAACATTCCGTAAATTAGAGCATTAGAAATGCTTTACGGGCAAAATTTAACTAAATTTAAAAAACTTTTGTTATTAAAATTATAACCTATATTATTTATAACTTATTTAAAATTATAAATTTATTTGAGAAAAAGAAAAGTTTAAGTTTGTGAAAATGTTTGCTAAAAAAGTTATAAAAGTTCTATTACCGTTAGCAACGAAAAAAACATTCAATGTGTTTTAATGGAAAGAAATGGTTGTTTCATTGTTTTAATGATGCAAATACATTTTGTTTTTATTTTATATCAATTTATATTTTAATTAAACAAATGAAACAATGAAAAAATGAAAGCTTATGAACTTCTTTCAAATAAATTCGATGTAATAATAAAATAAAATTGACTGTAGTATTAAGTTGAAGATGAAGACAATAACAAAGAAAACACATAAAAGATAAATTTATACTTTAAAACAAGATCATTAAGAACTAGTTGGAAAAAAATACACAATCAGATGCGATCAAATAAATAGTATTTAGGAAGTCAAAAGAATCTTAAACTGGCAATGCGCTGCTAAATAATAATTTTAAAATATTTATTGTCTAAAGAACGCTGTATAACAAATTAAAAATTAATAGAATGGAACACCCATATCCAAAAATAAAAGATCGCTGTGGAACACCCATATCCAAAAATAAAAGATCGCTGTCGATAACTTAATGATGAGCGCGCATAATCGTACTCGCTAAAAAAAATATTTGATTTTTATGGGTGCAAAACATCACGCTGGACAATTTTCTTCATGTCAAGGCCTGTGTGTGTGTATATATATATATATATATATATATATATATATATATATATATATATATATATATATATATATATATATATATATATATATATATTCACAAATGTGTAGTTTTATACCATCTTTCATAATTCTATCTTTGTAGCTAGTAAATGACCAGGATTGATATTTGATCAGGGCCGGGGCCAGGTTTGATAAAATATAGCCGGGGTCGGGTTTGTGACCGGGACTGCATAAACATTTATACATCCTAAAGTGCATTTTATTTTTTCAAAAATTATGTTTGATTTTGTATATATATATATTTATAAATATTATGATCAACATGATCATCATCATCATAATCATCATCATCATTATCATTATTATCATCATCATCAGCAGCAGCAGCAGGCTTTAGCCTTCCTCTTTTATGCTGTTTCTCTAATCATGGTCAATTCTTAAATGAGCTATCTTCTCTATTACAATTAACAAAAACTCATTCTTGCTTGGCTTTCTATTCAACAAGTTGCATCCTTTTATTGTATATCTCCCTATTAATTAAACACTGGCAAAAATGCCAGAATTTAATAAATAGTAAGTGTAAGTATAAAATTTTAATATAAAAAGAATTATAAATTTATTTCTAGCCCTGGCTGTCAACCCCTACTAAATCTTATAATTTTGCTGGAGCTGGGGCCGGATTTGCAAAAAGTCTCATTTTTAGCCAGAGCTGGGGCCCCGGTCACATACTATTGTAAGTGTATTGTACTGTAGCTTTTTTCGTTTGTATCCCAGAGACACTAAAACTTTCTTTATCTAGTCAACCTCTAGTTTGATTTTGATTTAGTTCATTTTCGTTGTCTTCTATTAATGTCAGAAGTATCCATCTTTGTTTTTATTTTTTTTCGATTTTAAAGTAGTGTTTTGAATCAATAAATAGTTGAGGAGCGAAAAATTAATAAACTGTCGACTATTTGCGTTGCGGTTTTTTTTTCACAGCGAAATTGTTATCCCTGTATTGTTGATTCACCTGCACATGTGGAACAGCACTTTAAAAGTGTTTATAAAATAAATCCTAAAAATAGTTTGAAAAAATTTTTAATAATAAGTAAACTTGATAATTTATGTATTTAGTATATTTATATAGTAATTTATGCATTTAATAATTTTGTATTTTTATTATATATTTAATTATGTGTTTAATAATTACATAATTTATGTATTTAATATATTTACATAATATTTTATGTATTTAATAATTTGCAAAGCATTTTATATAGTAAAGTAATTTTTAAAAAATGTAATATTAAAATATATTTCTTTTCAAATTTTTGTTTTTTGAGCTTAGATTTTTTCTTTTTCTTCAAGATTTTCTTTTTTTTTTAGATGATTTATCTTACAAATTTTCTTATTATTTTTAGCGCATTTTGAAACACCTAGAGTTGTAAAAACAAATTGCGTGGTCAAGTTGTAAAAGCAAAATATTTTTTGCGTGGTCAGGAATGGTGTTCGATTGCACTTTTTTAATTTTTATCGGACATGTCCATCGTATTTGAGTATTTATCGAACAAATTGTCCAGTACAAAAAAGTTCGTTATTTCGAGCCCTGTATATATATATATATATATATATATATATATATATATATATATATATATATATATATATATATATATATATATATATACATACATATATATACATATATATATATATATATATACATATATATACATATATACATACATATATATACATATATATATATATATATACATATGTATGTATATATATATATACATACATATGTATGTATGTATATATATATATATATATATATATATATATATATATATATATATATATATATATACACACACACATACATACATACATACATACATATATATGTATGTGTATATATATATATATATATATATGTATATATATATATATATATATATATATATATATATATATACACATACATACATATACATACATACATATACATATATATATATATATATATATATATATATATATATATATATATATATATATATATATATATATATATATATATATATATATATATCATATAGTCAAAATTTAAATTTTGAATGGCACAATTGAATTGATTTGGTATGGGGAATTTAATTCTGATAATATTTTTGTAAAATTAAAACTTTTTTAATGGGTTTCAGAATTATGATTTTATTTAAAAATTTATCTTTTTAAATTAAGGTTTAATTTTTAAAAGGTTTTAGACAATTATTCATACAAATTAAAATAAAAAGTAAAAATAAATCTTGAGTAATATAACAGATTTAAATATAAATTATTGTTAACCCCCTAGGATTGCTCCCCCTCCCTCTCTCCTCTCTCAATATTTGATAATTTTATTGTAATTATTGGATCAAGATACAATGCAATGTATCTTGATCCTAGGCTTTTTTAAACATAATGCATGACAAAATGTCATAAAGTTTAACAAAGAAACTGGGATTGTCTTAAACCTACCCTTTCCCACTCCCCCTCCCCCCTCCAAAAACAAAAAAAAAACTTTGAGTAAATTAGTAGGCATATTATAGAAAAAAATTGATATAAAAAAATTTATAGAATCAATTAATAAATTTAACAACCTTGAAGATAAAGCAAACAAGTGGCGAGTAAAAAGCAAACCAAATTAATAATAAAAATTGGTTCTGACTAAATGTAAAATCATTCTTTATGAAAACAAGATTTTTTAAAACATTCAAATGTATAATTCTTTTTTACAATTGTCACTTAAACAAAATCTTTTTTTGATTTCTTTAAAGACATTATTTCCTAGTTTTGCAATTGTGTTCATATAAAACCATTTCTTTTACCCCAATCACAGACAGGCTCTGCTTCCTCAGTAACAAGTTTGACTGCTCTCTCACAACAAAGTTAATCAAGTTTAGATTCACAGTGTTCTTTGTTAGACTTGGTGAGTTTGCCTGAGTCTTAGTTCTATAGCTTTAGCACCAGTGCTGTAAGGGGGGCTAGG